CTAGTTGAACCATTGGTTGGATATTGACCTATATAGAATGGTAGGCCGACAGACTTTCCTTTAAAAAAAATTTGGTGTTATCCTCTACTGATCACGTGATTACTGAAGGGAGTTATAAGGAGATTACTATGCCGACGGGCAAGGTTGACGACTCTATTTACTGAGCCAACAGATTACTAACACTGATACTAACCTTGAAAATGCCTTAATAGCCAGTGATTGTACTTGTTAAGTAAGTCTACTGTACTAGAATGCATGTGTAAAGTATTGTTCTTATGCTTACATTATGGATTTATCGATATTGAACTGGTTTATCGATATTTAACATATTTATTGATTTCTATATGAATTTATTGATATCGAAAAATTTATTGATATTGAACTTATTCATTGATATTGAATGGATTTACTGATAAATTTATGAGTTTACTGTCACTACACAATTTCATTAATATTGTATACTGTTTATCGATTCTACTACATATTCATTGATACTACTGATTCATTGTACTGATCTTATAGCATGTGATACACCGAATACTTACTGATACAAGTGATACACTGATAAGACTGATAACATGTGATTCACCGGACAAGTGATATAGATTAACTGTATTGCATGTGATACATCGAGCATGTGATACAGAATATGCTTTTACTATATTGCTGTGATTTCAACTATTCTTATCGATGTATTGATTTGATTATTTTATATGATTTCATACCGATTGATATTATTAATATGGTATTAATTTGACAGATATTATTGATACGATGATTTTTCTCTATCGATTTGACTGATATTTAAAGATATTATGGATTCTTTTAAGAATTGATGTATGGACTGATTTATTGAGCATTATGGATTTTTCTACTGTTTACTGATTCTCGTACTGATAATTGTGGATTTTAATTATTATGCATTGATTTCTGATTTCTGTATTTGCATCGATTCAACGATCATGTGAAATTGACTGATATTGATTCGACTGATTGACATACATATTGCATACGTACCGTGCTTTGATTTCAGTTGTAGGTATTTGGTGACCTGCTGAGCTGTTTAAGCTCAATATATGTGGTTAATGATTTTAGGTCAGGACAAGGGAGCAGGAGAGTGAGGTTGATCAAGATTGCCAGGTTTTTATTATTTTGTGATAGTTATTCTTTTGTACTCAGGACTCGATGGATTTATGATCATTGTTGAAGATCCTGAGTATTGTAAATGAAAATATAATATTTACATTAATGTTTTAAATTATAGATTTTTGTTAGACTGTTTGTCACTGATTGATGATTATAGATAGATTTAGTAGATAGATTTATTTAAAGGTTCGACTGAATAATTCTTCCAAGTTAGATCTTGGGGCATGACATCATTACAGCTCCATCTTCTAAAAAGGAAAAAATAAAATGAAATACAAACAATGGTGTAAGTGTTCTTCTTGAGGTTTAGAATATATGCACGTTATGAACAAAAGAGTCAAGATTGAGCTTGACAAACCAACATATAATGGAGAACCGATGAGTGTTTTGGGTTGGAGGATACTAGAGAAGCGAGGAGAAGAGGAAACCCTAGACAAATCAAAAGAAGGTGAGGGAGGAGAGCTAAGAGAGTGAGCGTGGTATAATTGATGGTGGGTACACAAACTGTGGCTAAATCCCTTTGCTAATTAAACAGTGTGGGTCATTCTGGGTCGGTATCAAGATTTTGGGTTAACCTAAACCCAACCTGGAATTACAAATGGGTAATAATTATAAACCTCAAATCAACTCAACTTTGAAATGGGTTGAACCTAACTCGAAATTTTTTGGTCGTGTTCGGGTTGGGTTATCGTATCGTGTTATTTTTTGGCAGCTCTGGTTTGACATATATGAGATTTTTTGTCAGAGCATTGCTAAATGACATTAACCTATATGGAAAAAATCGAGATAAAACCATTGAGGATGTTTGACCAATCTGATGTTATTTGTATGAGCATTGTGTAACACCCTAATACCTAAACTCGAAGAATTCCTTTTCTTTTCTCTTTATTATCTTTCCAACTTATTCCATTTTTTAATTAATAACTAATAATCATTCATTTATAATTAGATTAGTTTAACATCTAAAGCTTATTAATTATATTAAAAAAATAAATAATGATAGAAAAAATATAATTATATTGGTATTATCAATATTTACATATTGTAATAAAATTTAAAGTCCAAAAAGCATATATATCTAGTAGCCATTATTTGCTACAAAATAATATATATAAACCAAAGAGCTTAAAATAAAACCAAAATAATTACCATTTTTAACCTCAAGCTGCATGCTCCTTACCTTTACAAGAAATTATGTAAAAATTACATAATGAGCTTACAATGCCCAATAAATAATCAAATCTTATCACTGCCTTCAATTAAAGGCAGAAGATTCAATATACTTGCCCTAGTTCCAATCAATATTAATCAATAAGATATCAATATGAATGATAAATAGTGTATGCAATTAATATCAATAAATAGTCAAGATCAATATAATAAGTAAAAACATTGTTTGCATAATGAGAGCCTAGCTCAATTGTATTAAATAGAATAAAATATATCTAAAACTAGCAAATAAAATAAAATAAAGAATCATAAAATAAAATAGCTTAAATAAAATATCAAGAACCAGGTGGGAAAATAACTACATAAACTTAGGTTTTGTTTGGGATAACTTTCTTGCTGCTTTCTAAAGCAGCTTTTTTATACAAAAAATTTTAATTTAATAATTTTTTGTACTATAAAGTAGTAAGAAACTGCCCCAAATGAAAACTTAAGCTCACAATGAAAGATGTTTTTGGTTGTAGTATACTTTGTGATGAGTTTCTTAACATTAGGCCTGAGATACGTAGGAAGTCATATACTTTCAACTACCGGGATTTGGTGTGCCTCACCCGGGTGGGGGATTTTTTTATTAAAATAGAAGCATAGTTACTCACTTTTATTCTTTCATTCATCTCATTTTAGTTCTGACTTTTATATGTAAATAAAGTACGATAAGATATTATAATTAATTTGTGCATCCACTAGAAAAATTTATGGCTCCATCACTCAACTCGTGGATTAAACTATTATATTGAGTCATTGTTGTTATTTTCTCATAGTTGTAATAAGGTCATCATTAGTGTATATTATATCACTCATAGCCTTATTGTCATTATGGGGTAATGATGGGACGTTGAACAAGTCCAATGAACAATAGCTAATTTTCATTGCTGGATTTTCATGAAGAAATGAATAAACACGAATATTTATGTGATTCACAATGTCACTTGTGAAATTGGGTCATTGTTGTTTTTTTCTCTTAGTTGTAATATAGTCATGATTAGTATATATTATATCAATCATCGCTTATTTTCATACTGGGATAAGGATGGGATGCTGAACAAGTCCTATGAACATGAATATTTATGCGATTCACAATGGAAAGTAATAATCATTAAAATTTTATAACAAAAAAAAGTCAACATATTCGCTCCCCCTCCTAAAAAAAAGAGTAAACAGTGGTTGCTTGATGAGATAATCAAGTGTGATAATATTATGTGAAATATGATATCAAATGCCTAAATAATAGACACATGAACTAATTTTGCATTAACTTCTTATACCTATACAACACATCATTAACAAATTTGACACTATAAAGATTTTATTTCAAATAAATAAAGCAAATAACTCTTCTAAATTAAATTTCTACTTAAACTAAATCTTTTATCCAAATGAATCACAATATCATAAATAAATAAATGAATATATAAATAACTGTTATTTATTTATTGTTTTTAAGTATGTCTGAAAGTTTCTTACTGATTTTTTAAAGGGAATTTACATACATACTACTTTATTTTATACTATTTACATATTTAACACTCAAACATTAATATTACATGCCTACCACCCATATATAGCTTTAATATCAAATATACCACTTCTATAATTCATTTATATCATTCATACAATCCTATAAACTTTAATATTTCATTCAATGCACTCAAATTTATTCTATGGGTGGTATTCATCAGTGTCGGAGCCAGAAATTTTGTTGAGGGGGGGCTAATGAAAGCCGTTTTCGAGGTCGTGATTCGTGAGTTGCGAGAAATGAATAAAGGGGAAAACGAACCATTAATGCTTTTCATGTGTCCAGAAAATTGTCGGTGGCTTATATGGATTAATAAATATCTTTAAAAGAAAGATTTATACAAATTAGAGCATGATTTCTCGTTGGCAAAATTGTTGTTCTATTAAGCCACTAAAACAATCTACTTTAAGCCCCTTTACTTTCAATTTTAGCTTTAGTATGGAATTGGAGAGAGGAGTTGAATATACATAATATTGATTTAGTTAGGTGCGCTGTCATGAGTGCGCGGCTGCAGCACTTTCATTGCGCAAAAAAATGAGGAAAAGCAAAACCCTTCATAATAATCAATTAAATCATTAGCAGTGAAAAAATAATTAAATAATTGGGTGGTGATTTAATATTAGATAATAAATAATTAGTTAATTATGAAAGTTTTAATAAAATCATATTTAAATAATTAAATATTTTAAATAATAATTAATCAAATAGCATGTAACTATGCATTAAAATCTATTTTCATCATTCTTTTCACAATGGAAAATCATTCTTACTCTCCCTTTTAATATTTTACCCCATTACTCTTTCTCTCTCTACGGCTTTAAAAGTGGAAGGTAGATTAAAGGCTTAAAATGCAAAAAAAATTTGTAATTAATAAAATGAAAGCTGCACCTTTTATAGCAGCTCTAACGTGGAACTATCAACTTTTTACCCCTTCACCTAAGTAAAAGAAAAAATTTTAGGGAGGGGAGGGGCATGTGTCACCTCTTGTCCCCCCCTCCCTCCCTCCGCCCATGATAGTCATGTACTATTAATTTTTTGGTATTAGATATGTAAATAATATAAAATAAAATGGTATGTAGGTAAAACCCACTTTTTTTAATTCACGGCGACAGTTCATATTCCAGAGTAGGAATTAGGATTTAAGTTAAATCTTGCCTAAAACCTACCTACAACTTCTGTGAGTCGCGCTCTGCTCTGTCATTCGCTGATAAAGTACCATTCCTAGGGTTACTCCGTGAACATTTTGGATTGAATCTTCACTTCCTGATGAGGTAAATACGCCTCCATCAATGGTTGCTAACGGTACATTTATCTTGATGATTTTTAGTTCAATTTCATGGAAAACTAGGTTGCTATCTTGGTGATTTTGATGTGCTTATTTATAGAGTTAGTTGGTAATGTTGCCGCGGCTTTAATGAAAATCGTGGGTTTGTAATTTGTCAATTGATTTCTTTATCTTTTTATTTTTCCTTTCGTGAGTTTTCAGTCGGCAGCCTGAAGTTCTGTGGGCGCAGCGATCGGATAAGGTTTATCTGACGATATCTTTACCGGACGCCAAAGATGTCTCTGCTAAGAGTGAGCCGGAGGGTTTCTTCAGTTTCTCTGCGATTGGAGCTCAAGGAGAGTCCTTTTCCTTTAACTTGGGGCTCTATGAACCAATTATTCCTGAGGTGAGTTTCATAAACAAGTGTAGTATTTGTAAGCAATCACTAATCAAATTATTGATATGCAGTTATTCAGGCCTAGTAATATCACCATACATTCTACCAATCAAGGATCTATAGTATTCTGATGATCTCATCTCATCACTGAACATTTAAACACAACCTGACAACTAACTAGAAAATCAAGATGATAGCTTAAAAACTCAACTGCTGTATGATATTATCCAACCATCTATTCAACCGTCCAACATTACCATCTAGTATAGATTGGGTAAGTAATCCAAAGTCTAAACTTAGTCCACACTCCATTTACCAAAGGACAATTATGCTGATCTAAGTTAATGTTCATTTAAGGGTTCAAGATAAGCTTCACTTTTTCAGCCTATCAAGCCAACAAATGCTTGAAGGGAAGTGAGGGTAATCAGTGCTGGAAAAAAAGGGCATAATTGATGTTAGTAATGCATTAAATGGGGGAACAGAGGATCATGAGCGAGAGATTGATGTTGTTATGTGTTTATAGGTTATAATTACTCAATATGTAATATCAAGGAAAGCATGTATGAAGAACCTATAATTGGAAAACAAAATTAATTCCCTATAATGTAATAATTAATAGAACAATAGAAAGACACAAAATCACAATACTAATATTGAAAAAATAAACAAGGAACATAAAAAAAACTAAACCTAACAATACCTGGTGAGGATGTAAGAACGACAAAAATATATTGTAATCGGAGGAAATGTGACTACAAAATATTAGGGCAGTGGCAGGTGAGAGGGGATCGGGTTAGAGAGTCAAGAGGTTTAAATTCTAGAGCGAGATGAAGAGAATGAGAAGAAGTTTGAGGGAATGACAAATGTGAGGTGCAATTGCTTGAGGAAAATTTAGGGTTATGACATTACAAGTGACCTTTTGTGAGTTGCAATAATAACACCAACACAACATCAAGCCTTTTTTCCACTATGTGGGGTCAGAGGCATGAATTCTTTTTCTCCATTATGTCATATTAAGAGTCAAATTCTCATTTAAATCTAATAAAAAAAGATAATTTCTAATATTTTCTAAGTCTTTTTAGGTATAACTCTACGTTTCTTAACATAAGCCAAATCTAATACATCTACTCTCCTGACCGGGTCTTCGGAAGGCTTTCGTTTTATGTGACCATGCCATCTAAGGCAACTCTCTCTAATATTATCTTCCACTGGAGCTACTCCAATCTTTTCACATATATGCTCGTTGTGTATATTGTCTCTAAGAGTAAAGCCACTTATCCACCTAATCATCCTCATCTCTGCAATACTTAACTTAATATTATGCTTCTCTTTTAATGGACAACATTCTACACCATAAACATTGATGGTCTCACCACCATCTTATAGAATTTTCCCTTAAGTTTGAGGGGGAATTTTCTATCACACAACAAGCCCGATGCATTCCTCCACTGCAATCACTAAGTTGAATTCTACTAATGATATTCCCATCTATTTCACCATCACTCTAAACAATAGACCAAAGATATCTAAAACATATACTATTATTAATGACTTGATTGTCCAAAGTCACAATTCCCGCACTAGATTTATTACTACTAAAATTACACTCAAAATATTTGTTTTTAGATATCCTCAAAGTAAACTTTTAGACTCTAAGGTTAACCTCAATAATTCAAGTTTACCTTCAACTCCCTCTCTAGTCTTATCAATAAGAAGAATATCATAAGCAAAAACATACACCAGGGTACAACCTCTTGCAAATGTCTAGTGAGAAAATCCACGACTAAAACAAAAAGATACGGGCTTAAGGCTGATGCTAGATGTAATCCAACTGAAATAGGAAACTACTTGATCAAACCACCTTGTGTGATATAATTACTTCATTAGAGATCGAAAATTTTAGATTTTATTTGTTTGATCTACCCTTCTAATACTTCTATCTTTCTTCCCACTATAAGTCCTTGGATCTTTGTTAGGCTCGAAAATATGGATTTTCAACACAAAAACGACAAAATTCACGACCTGAAATAGAAAAAACTGCTGGAATTCTCCAAAAAATAGCCCAAAAACAGTCCGTAAACTGCTCTAATGCCAATTTGATAGGAAGTGCTTGTAGAAATTTAGGAAAAGCCTTGATTGGAATCAGATTTAAGTCATTTCATAAAACCAACAACTAGAAAGCTAGGAATAGAACACACAAGTACACTTTTTTATTGGAAGTTTAAGGAAAGAAAATACAAGATACAAGTGGATTTTCAATTGGAGAGGAAGATCCGGTTCTCCCAAATCTCTAGACGCCGTTAGAGCCCAAAACCTAAGAGAGATCTCAAAATTCAGTCAAATTCAAGATGTCTTAACCCTAGCAAAACATACTATTTAATGCATAAAATTCAAAAGGAATTCTCTAAACAGCCCTTACTTGGAAATTTCTTTCCTAACTCCCCCAAAAATTCTTCCTAAACAGCTCTGTTGGCCCCTGCGGTTCGAGCAGCAGGTATGGGAGGCGGGCTCTGTTTCGCCTCGCTTAGAAGCTGGCCAGTTCAGTTTGGACCGGTCTAACAAATGCCTAAAGATCCCGCTCGCTACTTGCATCTCTATTGCTCCTGCTTGGTCTCTCTTGCTGCTGTTTGCTCTCTATTGCTTTTGCTGCTTGCTCTCAACCACTACTGCCACTTCCTTCTCAACTATTGTTGCTATTCTTCTCTTCTAGCTACGGCCGATTCGGAAGCTAATAAACTGGGCGAGATGCAGATTATAGGAATGCAACTGTTCAGCTGAAGAAGAAAAATTAAAATTCATAAGAGGAATTGTTGTGGACAACAAATAGAATATTAAAACAGTGAGGGAAAATTTATGACAAGAAAATTCAATTAAGTTTTTGCCATAATTTCATTCAAAAGTCATTAAGATCCTCTCAGAAGAATTCCTATCATCTTAGACTCTCATTTTAGGCTTGCACGATAACACTAAGAGGTTGACTATTATGTTCCAGCCATATGGATTGACTTGTGAATCAGCTTGAACATGATAGGGTGACTCCAGTTTTGCTCAAAGTATTAGTGAGCTTTAGCTTCAGATATTCTTATCATCCCTAAACATAGAGTTAATTTTTTTCAGACAGATAAACAAATGGTTTTAAACGCATATATGCATTTGATTGTAATTACTAGAACTTTCAAGTATTATGTGTTTTCTTAGATATGTTAGTTGTACATTCCATAGTCATGTTTCTCTCTTTTTTTCTAAAAATTTTCAGAAAGGAAAAGTCCATATTGGACTGCGCAACATTATTTGTTCCATTCATAAGGAGAAGAAAGGTTGGTGGAAGCGACTACTGAAATCAGAGGAGAAAGCTGCTCCATATATCAAGGTTGATTGGAATAAATGGTGTGATGAGGATGAAGAATCTGAACAGTGTAAGTGCATTAAATTTCTGCTAAGTTTAGTTTATGATGCTGCAGTTGTAAGTGACAATTGTGATAACCATAAATGGACTGGAATAGTTAGAAAATTGTTTAACATGGGCAATTTAATCTGTTTCAACGTTTTTTATATTTATTTACTAGAACTGTTATAATCTTATTGAGAGAAATTTTCGGACATGCTTATTCAGAATCTCATTTATATTAAGTTTCTTATTTAGAGTTTGGTGAAGGTCCGAAACCTATCTCTCACTGAGATTTTCAAGTAGTGCATGATCTAGCATTGTCCTTCCAAGTCAAAACAACACCGACGTTTAGAAGTTGTCTGCTAAGGTGTATGTTTACTATTTATTTAACTACTGCATTTAAACGGTGTTGATTGCTCAAAAAAGCTGAGCGTTTCAAATCATGTTTCCACGTTAGTTGTTGTTCTCTTAGTACCATCTTATTTTGACTTCTCACATTCGAATTACACATGATAGTTGATCTTTTGTACGTGACTTTGTTTTCAGAGTTACAATTCGTCATTAATTATGCTTTTTGAATTTGCCATCCTTCGCTCTATTTTTTTGCATTATAGTAAGAGAAATATAGCGTTCCCTTTCACTAAATTTTCTGCTTTTGCCTCTTTTTCATGTAACTTTTCATTTCTTATCATCTTGCCTCCTCTTTATTCATCCCAAGGGCAATAATCACTGTTGTCTCTTTTACAATGCTACAATGAATGCAATGCATTTATGATGTAATGCTATTAATTCGTACCATTATTGATATGGTTCTAAAAAAATATCCCGATTAATTATAATTGTTCAATAAAAGTAATCAATTTTCATGCTTTGATGATCTTCATGCAACAATGTTGAACAAGGTGATTCTTCTAGCTCCTATAACATTGGATTGTGTTAATGCTCTTGTCATCTAATTGAACATAATATAGTGCTTCAAATTGACATCAATCTTGGGGTTTGAAGATCATTTAATTTAGATCATTGTTCGCAACAGTCACAACAACAGCATCAAACCGTTATCCCATTATGTGTGGTCGACTACAAATTTTTTTTTTCATTGTGTTCTAATAAGAGTCAAATTATCATTTAAATCTAATAAAAAATTTTATTTGTATACTTTTTAATCAAGTTTTTTTTATCTCTATTTTCTTAACATAGACCAGATCTAATACATCTACTCTCATAATCAGGTCATCAGAAGACTGATGTTCATCTAAGTCGGCTCTCTTTAATCTTATTTGTCACTACACATTTCGCATTCTGACTCTAAATGTAAAGCCACTCTCATCCACCTAAGTAACTCATCTCTGCAGCACTTAATTTTATTCTTCTTTTTTAATGGCTAGCATTTGTGCCATAAAGTATTGCAGTTCTCACTGCCATCTTATGGAACTTTTCCTTAAATTTGAGTGGTACTTTTCTATCAACAGACTTGATTCATTCCTCCACCTCACCCATCCAACTTGAATTCTTCTATCATATCTCTATCTATTTCACCTTCGCTTTGAGTTATGGATCCGAGATATTTCAAACATGGGCACTTTTTAATGAGTTGATCGATCAAAGTCACAACCCTCTAACTAGATCTTTTACGACTAAAATTACACTCAAACAAAAATCTTTAGATTTTATATCTACTCAAACGAAAAACTTTAGTCACAACCCCCACACTATATATATCCCAATTTTTTTATCTTTTACAGCTAAACCAATTTTTATAAACAAACTTCTTATTTTTTATATTTACTTGCACATTTTGATTTCAACACAAACTATTTTTATTATTAAAAACTTTTTTTCCCTTTAATTCTCCAAGCACGTAGTGGGATAAAGGCTTGATGTTGTTGTTGTAGTATTCTCCAAGCACATATTTTACAACTTTTTTTATATCACTAGTTATGTTTCCCAACTAATATTAGCTTCAAAATTTTGATATATTAAATCTTCCTTTCAAAAATATTTTTATTAAGCATTCTTTGAATCCTTTCATGTAATCTTAAGGCAACATTTTACTTTATTTTAAAATTTTAACCTCATCTTAAAGTCTAAAACTAATAAGCTAAGTTGGGTACATAAACTTTTACTTGGAATGACTTTATAATTTTTGCAAACTTAACGATTATTTGTTTAATAATAAAATAATTAATCTGAGTTTTATTATATCCATTCTTATAACTAATGAGATGCTCATCTCTTTTATTCAATAAAATATTAGTACTTGTAAAATTATAAGTTAAAACAAAATTTAATATAGTTTTACCACCTTTATTACTCGCTCAAAATCCATAGCCACAATGAATGGTTTTAAAATCTTCCATCACTCTACTGATATGTCTATTTAAATCCCCTCAAACAAATTTTTTTCTTCAAGAGATACCTTTTAGATTAATTCTTCAAAGTTATTCTAAAATTTAAATTTTGAACACATATCCAAACATAAGTATGGAGTATAAGCATTTATAATATTAACATTAACAACAATCTTTAAAGTTATAATTTTATCTTCAATTCTATTAATTTCTACAATATTATCCTTCAAACTCTTATCTATAATCACATATATACAATTTTTAGTACGACTCCTACCTGAATACCATAGTTTAACTCATAAACTGTCAATCGGTCTTTTCTCAAGTCCATTTAGTTTTTTGAATAAATAGAATATTTATTTTTCTATGAATCATAATTTTATTAATTCTATTAATTCATTTGTAAGAGAACATATATTTCAAGTTCTTATCATAATTCTAATTCCATAAACCAACTTGTTTGCCCACATCCGTCCGTGATGTGGAAATCCTTATTTAACTTTGCACTTAGGCACCAATGCAGGGCTCTTATACACTTTTTTGCTATATTTAGGCCATACTAGTCCCCATCAGTTCTAGTAATTTATTCATGTCATGAGTGCTCAATAAATTTTACACTGGCTATTGACTACCTAACTCAAGTCTCTATTTTTCTCATTTAGGATTTGGAACTTGGAAACGACAGTTGGGAGTGTCAATCGGGTTTTGGGTTGGCTTGTTAACCTTTTGTTTTAAATTGTGTGTAAGACATGATATTGGGTTTAAGATAATCCATCTACGCCAACTCTACTTGCACCTGATACGCAACAATTTTGTGTTGTCTATGTGGAATTTATTCTATATTTTTGATTGACAACGCATGCCATTCTGCAATAAATATCCATGAAAGGACTAATCACATATTGTTGAGATCTATGAAGCATAAGCTTGCCTCTTCACTACGGGGTAGGACCTCCTCCCCTATTTAAGCAATTATCAATCAACTTAGTGAATTATTGAACCCTTCACCAAGTATTAAGGGGCAACCTAGGATACTTTCCTCTTATATGAGGCTTCACATTAATGTCTTTTGAAGACAATGATGCTTGCATGACACTAACCCACACCAATTATTACTTAAATAAAAAACTAGTTGCATGAATCCATCCAATTTATCGATTTCCAAAGGTCATTAAAGATGCAACTTCAACCTTTATTGTTTGCTCCTTGGTTGGGCAAAGTCTGAAATTATGCAATTGAGTGTTGAGGTTTTTTTTTTTCATGAGGCAAAGTGTAAACCTCAAAATTAAACTATTAAATTAATGAAACATACAAAACAATAAGTAACAGGCTTACATTAAACTAAAATATTGAAGTAAGATAATAAAAAGTCATACAAAGCTATATGGACTATATAAGATATCAAATTACACCATTAAATTAATGAAAAATATAAAACAAGTAACATACCTATATCAGAGTATGATATGAAATTAAGATAATAAAAAATTGGGGGATTTACATACATACCATTTTATATCAAGCTATTTACACATCTAACACAAAAATTTTAATATGTCATGCCTACCACCAATAGATTAAATATGGGTGCAAGAAATGAAATTTTAAAGTTTAAAGGGTGTTTGGAATGAAATATATGAGTGACATTTTTTATATTAAAATTGTTTATGGGTGGTAGGGCATGAAATATTAAAATTTTAGGTGTTAGATATGGAAATAATATGATATAAAATGAAGCTTGAGATAAACTAGTAAACATAATTATAAATTTAAAATAAATTATTCTTTCTCATCAAACAATAAGCATGAAGGGCTATCAATTACGGTTGGTGGTAGCAAATCATTTGTAGCTGCAAAGGAGTTGCATCAAGGGTAACGGTGGTCATAACAGCAGGGATAGTGGAGGCACTTCAGAAACCACGCAGCCTTGCCCAGTTGGGATTCCATACAACATGTGGCTTCGAGGCATGTGCACTTGAGCTTCGACTTGTATCTCCTAAGCGGGCATCTAAAGGAGATGATGCCTCCTTTACACCGCCTTCAAGTCCATGAAGCAATTGAATGCCAACTCGACTCCAATATTGTCTTAAGAGGACTTTAATGATGAGCTTCATTCTAAATCAATCTTTTCAGGAGGAGCAAAAGAGAAGGCCAATAACATACTTATAATTGCATTTCATCCTCTGAAATCTTCATAAGCATGCGAATATGAGGTTGTTTAAAATGCCATCTTATCTCTTATGTGAAAAACTTGATTGTTGTTTAGTTATTTTGTTGGGCAAGCCTTCAAATATTTTCTTCCTATGATAGGCCTTATAAATCTCATAATTGGAATATCAGGTCGAATTTGCCTTTTTTAGGGGTTATCTTCTTTTATGGCCTTACAGGAGATTGACCAATAAAAAACTTTCTCTTCAATAAGGGTCACTAAATGGACAAGAAGAGGATGGTCTACTTAACTAAAATTTAAGTCTTATTTCTTTATAAAAAAGATAATAAAAAGATGAAACAACATCAAGGAACCATGATTAAAGAGAAGCATGAATATAAAATTATAGAAGGAGCATACTTAACACAAATGGGGACTCAGTTGACCTTTGTCTATTGAACTCTTATCTTCTGGCATTGCATTACCTTGCAAGTGCCCATAATGACAAAGGATGCCGAGGATGGAACT